TACCCCATCTGGTTTTTCCTTGTTTTTAATAGCCTTTATTTTTGTGGGCAATTTTAGGTTTACAGAAAAAATGAGCTGAGAGTAGAGTTCCCCTACTCCCTCTGCCCCACATATGCACAGCTTTATGTACTATCCTTATCCAACACTGCAGTGACATGTGTTACTACTGATGAAACTACACTGACACATCATTATTACCCCAAGTCCATGGTTTACTAGAGAGTTCATTCTTGGTACTGGGCACTCTCTGGGTTTTGACATGTATAATGAGTTGACATGTATCACCACACACATAGTATCATCACAGAACACATATAGTATCATACAGAACAGTTTATTGACCCAAAAATCCTCTGTGCTCTGCCTATACATCCCTCCCTCTCCTCTAACCCTTTGTTGGTGACCACTGATCTTTTAACTATCCCCATTGTTCTGCCTTTTCCAGAATGTCATAGTTGGAATTTTCCAGTATGCAGAATTTCCAGACTAATTTATTTCACTTAGAAATATTTAAAGTTCCTCCATGTCTTTTCAAGGCTTGAGAGCTCTTTTTTTTTTTAAGCTCTGGATAATATTCCATCATCTACATCTACGATGGTTCATTTATCCATTCACCTACTGAATGACAACTTGGTTGCTTCCAAGTTTGGACGATTTTAAATAAAGCTGCTGTAAACATCTATGAACAGGATTTTGGGTACCCCAGTTTCAACTCTTTTGAGTAGTAGCAAAAGTAGTATTCGATTCTTGCTGAGTTTTATTTTACTCAAAAGTAAATACCAACGGGCATGATGTCTGTATAATCATATGGTAGATATGTAAGAAGCTCCCAAATGTCTTTCCAAAATGTTTGTACCATTTTGCATTCCCACCAGCAATGAATGAGAATTCCTGTTGCTCCACATCTTTGTCAGCATTTCCTATTAGATGTGTAGTGGTATCTCATTGCTGCTTTACATTTCAAGTCCTTAATCACATATGATGTTAAATATCTCTTCATGTGCATATTTGCCCTGTGCATATCTTCTTTGGTGAGGTGTCTGTTGAGGTCTTTTACCCATCTTTTTTAAATTAAGTTGGTCATTTTGTTATTGTTGAATTTTAAAAGTTCATTGTGTACTTTGGTTAACAGTTCTTTATCAAATGTTTCTTTTGCAAATATTTACTACCTTTCTGTGGTTTATCTTCTCATTCTCTTGAAAATGCGTTTCACAGAGCAGGGTTTAATTTTAATGAGCTCCACTTTATCAATTTTTATTTCATGGATCATGACTTTGGTGTTGCATCTAAAAAGTCATCACTATACCCAAAGTCATCTACATTTTCTTCTATGTTATATCCTAGAAGTTTGATTCTTTTAAATTTTATTTTGGGCTATGATTCACTTTGAGTTAATTTTTGTGAATCCCATAAGGTTTTTGTCTAGACTTATTTCTTTGTTTTCTGCATGTGGATGTTCAGTTGTTCCAGCACCATTTGCTGACAAGACTATCTTTTTTCCATTATATTGCCTTAGCATTTATTGTCAAAGATCAGTTGCTATATTTAGGTGGGTCTATTTCTGGGCTCTCTGTTTTGTTCCATTGGTCTTTTCTTTAGATAATACCACACATTGTCTTGGTTACTGTAGC